CTACACCACCACGCGCATGCCTCGCGGCGGATATGCGCAGCAGCAAGAAGGTTTCGGTTATCCCTTGAGGGTAAGTCTAGCCCTGCTCGCCAGAAAGACCCCCCCCTTCACTACAACCCATGTCTAAGCAAAAGCTTGTCGAGGAGCGAGGGGAAGAAGGGAGAGTGTGCCCCACAAGAAGCGTTTCAAGACTACTCCATGCGATCCGTGCTGCTTGCCGTACCGGTCTCTACCTTGAAGACTACAGCGGTTGACTTCAGCAGCGGTCTACGGTAAGATACAGAACGCGCCACCACTTAAGAACTTTGGAGTTAAGAACTCGATTCTCACACAATCCAAAATACAAGAAATTGGTCATGAAGAACAGGTGCTCAGTTCCGACGTGAACCCGGCCTCATGGTGTACTAATGCGCATACAGATGGGCACGGAGCCCCCCAAAAAGCGGCGGCTGCAAGATAAGAACTCAGGAAGGTTGGGGGTGACCCAAACAGCGGATTGCTCCAGATTTTAGGTGGGGGGGGGAGAGGACCTTGTGATAAAACGATTGTACGGCTGACGCGCGGAGGGGGGGGGCGTACTCTCTCATGTTTCGCATGCCTTAGAGGTTAGACCATTGACCACACGTCCTCGAGAGGACGCATGATTATGCCCACAGGACTGATCACCGATGGCCAATCATTCCTTCCTATTTATTTCGAAGTACTTTGCCAAAGGTGGCTCGATAATAATGTCTTCCCTAGTCAATCTCGATACCAGTTCCCGCCTTTTCAATCCACTTCCTATGCCCCAGTACAGTCACCGTATTCTCCTGGCTATTCCATGCCTCGAGCATATCCGTGTACCTTTCCTTTCACGTGTCCAACTCAGTCATGTACATTTCTCTACCCTTGTCACCCAACACGGACGTTTCGCAACGACATGGACCCGGTCTTCGCCCTTGGAGCCGCATGCATATTTGAACTTGGCGTCTTCATTGTCTTCCTTCCTGAGTCTTCGTCAACGTTCTTAAAGGTCGTTGTCCCCAGTCTTAATTTTGACCTTCGGCTTTGTCCTTGGTCCATGTAGGTACCTATTCCTTCTTTCAATTTCAACATCCATACACATCTAGACCCTCTTTATCCTTGTGTTAGATTATGTTCTCTCTCGGGAAAAAATGATATTTAAATTTCTTGTTCTCGAACCCCTATAGACCTACCGTTCGTTTCCTACGAATCAACCTCATCGATTTTGAACTCTTCCATACGTCATCTACAACCTTAAACCACTCCCAGGGTTGTTACCCCTATTCTTGTTTGTCCACTTCGCCTCCCAAGCTTCTCTAGGCAACCTCTCCTCTCCCATATCGCACACCATACGGTTTTACTTGCCGTTTAGCTCTCTTACGTCTCTTCCCGATCGTACGAATTGGATCCGAGGGGGGGGCGTACTCTCTCTCTCTCTCTCATGTTCTGCATGCCTTAGCGGTTAGATCATTGACCACGCGTCCTCGACAGGACGCAGCATTGTTCCCACAGGACCGATTACCGACGGCCAATCGTTCGATCCTACTTTGCCAAAAAGGAGGCTCAAAAATGTTATCCCGAGTCTTATCTATCCTATCGATATCAGTTCCTGCCTGTTCAACCCATTTCCCATGTCCCAGTACAGCTACCGTCTTCTCCTGACTATTCCATGCCTGAAACATGTCTCGTACCTTTTCCCCGCACTTTTCCCAGCTCACTCATGCGCGTCTCTCTCTTCTTCTTGTACAACGGCCATTCCGCAACTACATAAAGATGGTCTTCGCACTCGGAGCCGCATTCACATGTAGATCTGACGTCTTCATCGTCTACGTTCCCATATTTTCGTCTACGTTCTCGGAGGCCAATGTCCCCAGTCCTAAACTTGACTTTCAGCTTTGTCCCTACATCCATCGGTCCATGTAGAAGGTACTCCTTATATCTGTTCCTTCTTTCAACATTCCGTACACATGCAGGCAAAAGGAACAGATATCTTCTCCTTGAACCCCTCTAGACCTTGCGCTTCCAGTGTATCGCCTTTGTCATTTTCGAACCCCTTCCATACGTCATGTCCAACATTAACCCACTCCGTAGGTTGGTACACCCATTATTCTTGATTGTCCACTTCTCCTCCTAAGCTGTTCTCGGCAACCTCTCCTCTCTCGTAACGTACACGCGGTACTGCCATCTAGGGAACGATTTTACGACTACATTGTACACTTGAAGCAGCACTGTAGTGTCTCGTGACGAAATCCACCCAGAAAGACCTGTGTCGTCTGCATAGGGAAAACGGTTTACATAGGAATAGGAAGAAGAACCCCGTGTATCATAAGTGGATGCCGGCTCCAAATAAGAACTTGGCAAGTAAGAATATGTTATCGGTTGGAAGCATCCAATAAGCGTCGAGCGTCAAGCTAAATCCGCGGTTCTTGAATGTTGGCGCGTTCTGTAGTCCAAGTCTGCTTCTCTTGATTGTCTATGTGAAAGCACCTCGACAAACACACGCTTTGTGCATGCACACATTCATGTCACAGATAGATACAACGCACGCGCTGGTCGGGGGCATATTGCCAGAAAAGCGAAAACATGATGACGGGTGGCGGCGCAGCCGGTGGCAAGAAGGTCAGCGCCCTGGTTCAGGAGCAGCTGCAGTATTGCCGCTCTCTCCGTCGGGCGGACATGCTATCGGCGGTCCAGGTACGTACAATATGCGCCCATAGCGCCGTCAATGCTATTTGAAAACACACACAGATGTGGTTAACGCCGTTGAGACTAAGGAGGTACAGTAGTAGTAATTATCGACACACAGATTTCAATATCGCTGGGTAAATAGTAAGTAATTGCCGACTGGTCATTTCTTCGAAGATTGCGGGGTGAGAATACCTTATAGCTCGCCCGAACCGTGTCCGGGTGGCAAAAACTACAAGGCGATTCCCATCGTATCGCAAGGAGCACCCAGCGAAATGTCAAGTTGAAGAGGCTCATGAATGAGGCATGTAGCGACCACGACCAAAAAGGATCCTATGCAGGAGGAGATGCAGAAACGACAGACGAAGGTACGGTAGTGTGGAAGGGAGCAAGGGCTTCGGTGCACCGGATCTTCAATATCATTTACGTCCATCGCCAACGAAAACATACTACAGGAAAAACAGACCTTCAGACCAACGTACATTGGAAGGTACGTATTGGGCGAAGACCGGAACCTTTTTTAATGTGAAGACAACAACAGCAACAACAACAACAACAACAAAAAGCGTGTTCACTATTTTTCCTCCTGCGATAAGACTGGAGCCTTTACATTGGTCAGCCGGCTAGCGGTTGGCGCCATTACAAGAACCCACATAGACACACATCACAGCCGAGGAAAGGTTACGCTCAGATGGGACAGGGTAGGTAAGTAGGGACGGCGAGCGACGGCATCGTGTGGAGGCTTTGGAAAACCATGGAAGGGGGAAACATTACCTTTAGCTCCCGCCGTGAATTTCTACATTGAGATATCTGAACATGCTGCGGGTTGCGATGGCATATATCCAAACTACTTTCTACGGGGGTTCCCTTCCTAGACTACACGTGTACGAGCTCATTGAATACTGGCGTCGCGTCATATAGACATTGTCTCAACGGATTGTACGCCCCACGAGTTAAACTTAGCCTTGTTGAGGTGGGAAGGTGGGAGGCTCTTTTTATATATCTATGTGGGGTGACTCGACATTGGCTGTATATACAGTATATGGGATTTTTTTGGTGCGGGGCTCTTAACTGAGAACCTGTTCTTGAGGCCGAGAGCATGAACTTACGCTTCTATGTTTGTCCCCCCCCCCTTGAACTTCTTATCCCCAAGGTTTTTAACGTGGGCACGATGTGCCCCTAATTAGAAATAAGATTTCCTAGGCGTATTCTCTCTCACTCTCTCTCTCTCTCTCTCTCTCTCTCTCTCTCTCTCTCTCTCTCTCTCTCTC